ATTATTATTATTATTATTATTATTTTTGAGACAGAGTCTCGCTTTGTTGCCCAGGTAGTGAGTGCCATGGCTCAGCCTAGCTCACAGCAACCTCAAACTCTGGGCTCAAGTGATCCTTCTGCCTCAGCCTCCCAAGTAGCTGGGACTACAGGCATGCGCCACCATGCACAGCTAATTTTTTGTTATATATTAGTTGGCCAATTAATTTCTTTCTATTTATAGTAGAGACGGGGGTCTCGCTCTTGCTCAGGCTGGTTTTGAACTCCTGACCTCGAGCAATCTGGCTGCCTCGGCCTCCCAGAGTGCTAGGATTACAGGTGTGAGCCACCATGCCCTGCTTCATAGATTATTATTATCTAAGAAGCAATAACAGCAGTAACAATGACGAAAAGTTTTGAGAATGTATTAGGTGCAGGGCAATGTGGATCTTGGATTGGATTTCAATTTTCTTATCTGTAAAGTGGAGATAGTATACATCCTACAAGGTTGTTTTGAGGTATACAAAAGTAATAGAAGCAGCATATTTTCCAACAGTTAAGAACACTGAGCAAGTGAAAAGACAATTCACAGAATGAGAGAAAATATTTGTAAATCATCTCTCTGATAAAGGATTACTGTCCAGAATATACAAAGAACTCTCACAACTTAACAACAAAACCCCCAAATAATTCAATTCAAAAAAGGGCAATGGAGTTGAACATATATTTCTCCAAAACAAAAAACAGTCATTCCCTCAGTATCCCTGGGGTATTTGCTCCAGAATCCCCTTGGATACCAAAATCCACACGTTTGAGTCATTAATATAAAATGGTGTAGTAGTTGCATATAACCAACACACATCCTCCTGTATACTTTAAATCAGCTCTAGATTACTTGTAATGCCTGATTCAATGTGAATTGTTGTATTGTTTAGGGAATAATGACAATAAAAAAGGCTGTATGTGTTTAGTATAGATGCAGTTTTTTTCCAAATATTTTTCGACCCATGGTTGGTTGAATCCACAAATGCAGAAGGCCAACTGTACACACAAATGGCCAATAAACACAAGAAAGGTTGCTCAATGTCACTAGTCATTAGAGAAATGAAAATCAAATCATAGTAAGTCACCACCTCACACCTAGGATAGCTATTATCAAAAAAAGGAAAAGTAATTGTTGGTGAGGATGTGGGCAAATTGGAACCCTTATTCATTGCTGATAAAAATGTAAAACAGGCTGGGCGTGGTGGCTCACGCCTGTAATCCTAGCACTCTGGGAGGCCGAGGCGGGCCGGGCAGATTGCTCAAGGTCAGGAGTTTGAAACCAGCCAGAGCAAGAGCGAGACCTCGTCTCTACTATAAATAAAAAAGAAATTAATTGGCCAACTAATATACATAGAAAAAATTAGCCAGGCATGGTGGCACATGCCTGTAGTCCCAGCTACTCGGGAGGCTGAAGCAGGAGGATCACTTGAGCCCAGGAGTTTGAGGTTGCTGTGAGCTATGCTGACGCCACGGCACTCACTCTAGCCTGGCAACAAAGTGAGACTCTGTCTCAAAAAAAATAAAAAAAAAAAAAAGTAAAACTGTGCAGACTTTTTGGAAAAACAGTTTGGCAGTTCCTCAAAAAGTTCAGTGTGGTACAAAACCATAAGATCCAGCAATTCCACTTTGAGATAGATGCCCATGAGAACTGAAAGCAAGAACTCAAACAGATATTTGTATAACTATGTTCATAGCAGCATTATTCATAATAGCCAAAAGGTAGAAACAACCCAGAATGTCCATCAAAATGGATAAAATATGGTATACAGATACAGCCTTAACAAGGCTGTATGAAATTCTGATACTTGCTACAATATGGATGAACCTTGAAAACATGCTAAGTGAAATAAGCCAGATACAAAGGGACAAATACAGTACAATTCTACTTATATGTGGTGCCTAGAATAGGCAATTTCCTAGTAACAGAAAGTGTAATAGATATTACCAGAGGTTTGGAGGAGAGGGGGATGAGGAGTTATTGTTTAATGGGTTTAGAGTTTCTGTTTAGGATGATGAAAAAGTTCTGGAAATAGACAGTGGTGGTGGCTATACAACAGTGCAAATGTACTTAATGCTACTGAATAGTACACTTAAAATGATTAAAATGGTAAATTTTATGTTTTTTACATTTTAACACACACACACGCAAACACAAGCACTGTGCTGTCTTTGAATGTCTGCCTATCACTGTTCTAGTTGCTTAAGATACCATAGGGAAAAAAATATAAGTCTTTCCCTTTCTGGGACTTACAATCTGGTGAGAGTGAAGTGGTAACTCTGCATTTAAAATGAATAGAAACAAGATCAACCATTTAATAAATATTTGTGGAATAACTTGGTAGATAAAAGTTGGTCAATATGTTAGGCTTTACTACTAAAATTAATTCAAGATGGGCCAAAGTTTTAAATGTATAAAATGAAACCATAAAAAATGCTAGAGGAATGCATGGGAGAACTTTTCAAAAAGAATAATCTTAATTGGAGGAAGACCTTTCTAAATATGAAACATAACCTAGAGGCCATAAAAAGATCAGTGAATTCTACTACATGCAAATATTTGTAAAATGTGCATAAAAAACCAACCTCAAACAAAGTAAAAGAAAACCACACATAATAAAATCAGAAAAATACTTGCAACTAATATCACAAAAGGTCTTGTTTCTCAAATATGTAAGGGGCTGGTGCAGGTCAATAAGAAAAAAACTAAAAATGTGAGCCTATATTTCATGAAAAGAAAAAAAAATGGTTCACTATAATTTTTAATAAGAAAAATTGTAAATTTAAACTACAGTGAGATGCCATTCAGATTGGCATAGTTCAAAAGAGTTTAATAATACACTGATGGAACATGTATGACTGACAGGCACTTTTAAAAAATTTTTTTATTTATTTTTATTTTATTTCCAGAAAGGCACTTTTGTTTATTGTCATTGGTACTATATATTGATACAACTTCTTTGAAGTGCTATTTGGCAATATTTAATAAAATTACAAGCACAAATACAAGTACAAATACAAGTGCTTAACAATTCGATTTATTTATATTTGTTACAAATAGTCTTATGCATGTTCAGAATGACATTTGTTGTTAGAGCTAAAACTATAGAACTCAAAAAACTATAAAAAGGAAACATAGTAGAAAATCTTTGTGACTGTGGGTTTGGCAAAGATTTCTTACACATGACACCAAAAGCACGATATATAAAGAAAAAATGGTTAAATGTACTTCATCAAAATTCAAAACTTTTGTGCTTTAAAAGATACCATTAAGAAAGTGAAAACACAAACAATAGACTGGTAAAAAATATTTTCAAATCATATATCTGATAAAGGACTTGTATGCAAAATATATAAAGAATTCTTGCCATTCAGTAGTAAGAAGACAACCCACTTAAAAAATAGACAAAATATTTGAATAGATATTTCACTAAAGGTATATGAATGGCTAATAAACACACAAAACATCACAAGTCATTAGGGAAATGCAAATAAGATCACAATAAAATACTACAGGCCAGATGCGGTGGCTCACGCCTATAATCCTAGCACTCTGGGAGACTGAGGCGGGTGGATTGCTCGAGGCCAGGAGTTCAAAACCAACCTGAGCAAGATCGAGACGCTGTCTCTACTATAAATAGAAAGAAATTAATTGGCCAATTAATATATATAGAAAAAATTAGCCGGTGGCGCATGCCTTGTAGTCCCAGCTACTCAGGAGGCTGAGGCAGGAGGATTGCTTGAGCCCAGGAGTTTGAGGTTGCTGTGAGCTAGGCTGACGCCACGGCACTCACTCTAGCCTGGGCAACAAAGCGAGACTCCGTCTCAAAAAAAAAAAAAAAAAGATACTATTTACACCCACAAAATGGCTATATTAAAACAGTGCCAATGCAGAGAAAGAAGAGCCCTTATACAATGGGAATGTAAAATGGTGTAGCTAGTTTGGAAAACAGTTTGGCAGCTTTTTAAAAAGTTAAACATAAATTTACCATATCAGCAATTCTTCACTCCTGGGTATCTACCCCAGAGAAATGAAAACATGTCCAAAGACTTGCATGAGAATGTTCATAGCAGAATTACTTATGGTAGCCAAAAAATGGAAACAAATCAAATGTTCATTGACTGGTGAATGCATAAACAAAATGTGGTATGGCCATACAGTGGAGTATTCAGCAATAGAAAAAACAAAACACTGATATATGCTACAACCATAGATGAACACTAAAAACAGTGAGAGAAGCTAGATACAAAAGACCCCATATGGTACGATTCCATTTATATAAAATGTCCAGAAAAGGCAAATCTAAAGAGACAGAAAAGAGATTAGTGGTTATCTGGAGCTGAGGGTGGGAACAAGGAGTGACTACAAGTAGCATGAGGGATCTTAAGCTTATTATGGAAATATCCTAAAACTCAATCATGGTAATGGTTGTACAACCAGGCAAATTTACTAAAAATTACTGAGAACAGGTAGAATCACTTAGGATGGATGACTTTTATGACATGTAAATTATATTTCAATGCAATTATTTTTTAAAATGACATTTATACAATGTTAGTCATTGCAGCATTGTTGTAAGAACAAAGGATTAGAATCAATTTAAATGTCCATCAATAGAAGACAGGTGAAATAAATTATAGTGTATCTCTACAATGTGGTCGCATTCAATAAGGAGTTCTTTGTAGAGTATGAAATAATCCTCAGGTTTTATTGGGAAAAGTACAAGATGTATGGCATGATATCATTTGTGTGAAAACTAGGGAAAGGGAGAATAATATATACTTGAGAATTTGCTCATATATGCCTAGAATGTCTCCAGAAAGATATATAAGAAACTTTGGAGAAGCAACTGCATGGCTGGGATGGAGGTAGTGGGAGATCTTTCACTGCATATTTGAGCCATGTGAATTATGACCTATAAAAAAAAAAAACTAAATAAAAGTTAAAACTAAAAAAAAGTTCTATTCAAATAGAGGTTATCTTTTCATTTTTCTTTTACATTTTTTCCCCAATAGGTGGCGCTTCTGAAACACCATACTTGTTTTTGTTTTTATTTTATTTGAGAAAAAACCAAATTTGCTCTGATGGATTTTCTTATGCATTTGTCACCCCTGGGAACCTTGAGTCTAGATTTAGGATTGAATGTGTCTGTTCTAGGATCTCTCCAAAATGTCTTGCTTTGATTCTGAAAACTGGATAGAAGGAGAACACCTGGATTGAAAAAAGAGAAATGGCAATTGGTTCAGAAAACCAAATAATGCTTTCAGCCCTGTCTTCTTAACTAAAATTTCTGGTAAACTGATGGGTTAGAACTTCTGATTGATTGAATGGTTGATTGAAAGGTTAATATAGGTCAGTGGTTCTTCTTCACTAAGGGTGATTTTGCCCCAGAGGGGATGTCTGGACACATTTTAAGTTGTCACACTGGGGGATACCACAGGCATCTGGTGGATAGAGGCCAGGGATGCTCCTATAACTCCTACAATGCACAGAACAGCCCTATTCACAGAGGATTAGCTAGCCCAAAATGTTAATGGTGTGGATATTGAGAAACCCTAACATAGATAGGTTAAGATTAATATTCAGCATCTCTGTGGCTTGACACCCTGTTCTAAGAGCATTTACAGATAAGCACAGCGGTTCATGTTTTCTTAGGCCAAGACAATCAGTACTGACTGACCTCAGTGTTTTTAGAAAAGGGCCTCTAAAACCACCCCCCACCGCGACCCCCCACAGGCTGATTCCTGTGAGGACAGGTGAAATAAATTATAGTGCCTCTATACAATGTGGTTGCAGGTGATGCAAAGGTACTTTATTAGAATTGGTGTTGAAGAACCCACTTGCTCTGAGTCCTGAGCTCATTTCTTCCTCAGCTGGTTTCCTTGAAGGTGGCTGTATTGGTCATCCTCCCGATCCTTGAGGGGCTGGAAAGGACAGTACAGTTATAAGACCATTTTTTTCAATCCAATATTAATTAATTCAATGCATATTTGTTGAATGCTTTTTATTTGTGAGGCTTTGGAATGGGTGCTTCATGGTCCTGGGGCTGGAAAGAGGACGAGATGGAGGCTCTGTATAGATTTTTTGTGTGTCCCTCTTAGTGTCTTCCTCAACTTTTACTCACTAGATCCTGACCACAGTCTCTCTCAACTCTTCATTTCATCTATTCTACCCAAAGGGATAACTATTCCATCATCTGGTATGGTGTAAGCAGTTCCTTATCTGCATAGCATCTTCCAGCTAACTTGTCCCCAATCCCAAAGTTTTACCCCCACTAATTGCAGCAATGTCTCTTTCATTCTTCATTCCCTTACCTGGTAGAGCTGGTCATTGGGCAACAGAGTCTGCTTGTCTGAAGCTGCACAAAAGATAAACAAAACACAAACAAGGTAGAATGGATAAGAAATTGGGTCATATTCACACAATGGAATACTAAATAGTAAGAATCATCTACACACAGGAGTATGAATAAGTCTCACAAACATATTGAGTGAAAGAAGCCACATGCAAGAATATTTACTATATGAGTCCATTTACATAAAGAACAAAATCAAGTGAAATTATTCTCTATTGTTAGAAGTCAGGACAGTGCTCACACTTGGGTATGGTTAGTGGCTGGAAGTGACCACAAGACTGGTTTCTATGGCATTGGTAATATACTCTTTTTTTTTTTTTTTTTTTTTTTGAGACAGTGTCTCACTCTCTTGCCTGGGCTAGAGTGCCGTGGCATCAGCCTAGCTCACAGAAATGTCAAACTTCCGGGCTCAATCGATCCTCCTGCTTCAGCCTTCCAGGTAGCTGGGACTACAGGCACGAGCCACCATACCCAGCTAATTTTTTTCTATTTTTAATTGTTTGGGTAATTTCTTTCTATTTATAGTAGAGATGGGGTCTTGCTCTTGCTCAGGCTGGTCTTGAACTCCTGAGCTCAAGCAATCCTCCCACCTCTGCCTCCCAGAGTTCTAGGATTACAGGCGTGAGCCACTCATGGCAATATACTCTTTCTTAAATTGGTCCTGGATATGTTTACTTTGCTAAAATATTTTTGAGCTGTATGCTTGTGATTCACTTTTGTGCATGTAGGTTTTACTTCAACAAAGAATTTTTTTTTTTTTTTTTTTTGAGACAGAGTCTCACTTTGTTGCCCAGGCTAGAGCGAGTGCTGTGGTGTCACCCTAGCTCACAGCAACCTCAATCTCCTGGGCTCAGGCGATCCTACTGCCTCAGCCTCCCGAGTAGCTGGGACTACAGGCATGCGCCACCATGCCTGGCTAATTTTTTTCTATATATTTTTAGTTGGCCAATTAATTTCTTTCTATTTATAGTAGAGATGGGGGTCTCACTCTTGCTCAGGCTGGTTTTGAACTCCTGACCTCGAGCAATCTGCCCGCCTTGGCCTCCCAGAGTGCTAGGATTACAGGCGTGAGCCACCATGCCTGGCCTCAACAAAGAATTTTTAAAAAGCACAGAGGACAAATCAGATGGAGCTGACTCTTGAGACAGGCAAACATGCTGTGGTAACATCAAGTGTCCTTTTCCTCCTGCCCTACAGAAACAGCCTCTCCCGACTGTGTGCCTTAGCAAGACATGCCAACTCAGACCCTTTTATTGGGTCTATTTTGGTAGGAGGAAAACTGAGGGTCTCAGGTGGTCCCATCTCTCATTGAAGAAGTTTCTTTTACCTCTTGACTGGCGAGCTCCCTCTTGTCCAGCAATGAAGTAGACTCCAACAGCAAGGAAGAAAATGCTGATGATTTCAGCAAAGATGAAGCCAGATATGGTGGCTGCATTGAGCTCAATGCAGTTCTGACACACTGTAGAGAAAAGGAGGGACAGGTCTCCTTTAGGGTGTGAAAGTTGTTCTTTCTGGGTCTTTTCCTCCTGCCTATCAGCAGTAATGCCTCTGTTTAGGACAGCAGGCTCCTCCCTCTGTGGGTGCCATGGCAAGGGAAGACCCTTGGACCAAGAGCTCAACCCATCTTGATGTTTCTCCACCCCCCAGGAGTGCATGTAGTCTAACTATCAGGAGCTAGGTGGAACAGAAGGAAGACTAGACTCTCACTTCCATGCTCTACTGCTTTCCACTCCTCAATGCTACTCACCTCGTAATCGCCCTGTCTACCCCACCCCCACTCAGTTTACAGAAGTTACAGAATGGCTCTAATCCCTGGAACCTACCCAAAGGTAAACAAGGCTTTACAGGATTGGCTATGCTTTTTCAAGAAGCCAAGGGAACTGTTTTGTAATATTTAGAAAGAGGCAAGCTGAAAGTAAGAGAACTGGATATTATCACACTGTTTAGCATCTATTTCCACCTTCGCCATTACAGTAGGCTCACCAGAACAGCAAGTACTGCTTAATTTCACAACAAACAAACCAAAGGGGATTACATACTTCTGTAATACACTTGAAGTGGTTTTGAAGTGTCTTTTAATCCTTGACACCAATATATCCCTTGAGGGTCCTTGGTACTACTTCCTAGATTCCATGTACTTTTACTTCCATTTAGAGAGTTTATTATCTTTCCATCTTTAAACCATTTGATATTTTTTTCATTCAAGTCACACATCAGGAGTACTGAATCATCTTCTCGAGTTTCATCCACCTTTACCAAAATGTTTTCTGCAAAGGGAAAAGCCATAGTTCTGTTAAGGATCTTGCCTCTAAAATTATCCCTGCCTCAGGATGCCAGAAGACCATTAGAGCAGTGTTTCTCAAACTTTAATGTACACATGAATTACATAGGGATCTTGTTAAAATTTCAGGTTCTGGAAGAAGGTTACATGGCCTGAGCTGGCCCTTCTACTGTTCCTCAGATGACTTTTATTAGCATGTTCAAGACCACAGACATCCTTTTAAAAATGAAATCCATGAAGTTCAATTGAGAATACTTTCCTATAAGGAAGCTCCCAACGATTTCCTTTCTTCATTTCTTTTGCTCTGAGCTGTTTATATAGCCTGATACATTTACATGTCTGATGAAGATACAGATCATAATTTAAACATATAACTCTTTGTAGGAGCAGTTAATGGGACACCATGAGAAAACAGCCATGTTTTAGAAGTTCAAATGTTTCACAACAATAATTGCAACAATTTATTGGCATCTATTGAGTTTCATGTTCTAAGATAACAGAAAGTATAGCTGAACAAAAAGAAATTTGAAAGTGGAATGAAACTATAATTAGAACTATATGAAACAACAGCTTACTTTGAAATACAAAAACAAATAAAATAAGAAGAAAAATTCAGGTTTTATTCAGTAGTTCTCGGGAGGGAAGTTTCTGCATTGCTAGCATGCATCCAGGTCATGCCAGGGCTCCTGGTTTACAGGTCACACTTCGAGACGCACCTAGCTACCAAAGGTCCTGTTTCTCCTGTGAGGACCAGAAGTTAAATGCCTAGCAACAGGAAAGCTGCCCAGAACAGGTCATGACAGGCCACCGATTCGGTTTACAGTGCAGACATCACCTATCACCCATCATCCCATTCTTTCTCAACTGTTCACTCCTACAAGACTACCGTTATAGGAAGCCATATATCCATGACTTTTCTTAGAGTTTGAAGATAGATAGAAAGAAGCCATTTCTCCTACCTTGTTTTGACTGGGCCACAGTACCTGTAAAGACAGAATAGAGACAGAGGATCAGATCACCTAGGCATGGACTTGTTCTGATATCCCAAGGTATTCTCCCGGTCATTTGAGGCCAAGATCAAGAGAGATCCTAATTCATGGAAATGACAATAACTATACCTAGTTTCCTGGCTTGTAGGCTAAATCACCAAATTGAATTTGAGGTGTTGACAAAGAATTTATCTGATATTTGTCCTGGCTTCCTGGGAGGGAGTTTCTAACTCTTGGAATTTCATGAGTGTTGGGAATGTCTTTGTTATTGGCGGTGGACTCTTAGCCCACACCTGAGTATATACTAAGGAGATGACTCAAGATGGTGGTGGTCAGGACCAACCATATGGATAGAAGATTAGAACTTAAAAACCAGTGATATCAGTCCTGGGGGCTGGAGGTTTCTTGTAGAAACTCTGGATGTCCCAGGGGAGTTAGCTATTCAATTAGCCCTGATACCTGTCTCAAAACCCAGAGTAAGTAGAGTTGCGTGATACATGTGCTGCAGAGACCCAGCACTGGAATTCAATTCAATTAGATCCAATCCAAACATTTACTGAGCACTATTATGACCTAACATGTCTAGGCATCGTGAAGGAAAATGGTGATGATATGAAGAATCGGTTGCTGCCTCCAAAGAGTTTACGATGAAGTGTAAGAAATAAACCTACATGTAATTATTGTAATATAAGTTATAAATTATCTTTTAGTATTTATATAAGTGCATATGAAAGGGGGTAGAAGCTATTAATTTTGCCCACAGGGGAGGGTCAGGGAAAGCTTAACAGAGGAGGTGACACTTAGCTGGGCCTTCAAGAATGAGCGGGGAATTTACCAAAGAAAGGCATTCTGAGTAGAAAGAATAGGTGAAAAAGATACAGATTCGGAAAAGGACAAGAGAGGTAGTGTGGCTAGAGGTAGAGTGTGTGGTAGGGAGAGGTGGTCAGGAGTCCAAGTATGACAGAAATGGTTGGAAGGAGTCAACTGTCTTAGAACCTTGTGCAGGGCTGAACTGTTTAAGAACAGTACTCAGCACAGGGCCTGAAACATGGTAGGAGCTTTATGTTTGCTGAATGAATGCATGAATGAATAAATGAAAGAATGGGAGTAAAAAAGCAAGACAGTTAAACAGATTTCTTACTATTCTGTCTTCCCAATCACCAGGTCACCATGGGAGGGCAAAGAGACTTATCATTCTAACTCAGATTCCATAGGAAAGGAGATTGGACTGATCACTGACATCTTTTAAGTTAGCATATCTGAGTGCTGTTTCCTTTGAGGAGTTGAGAGCTCAAATAGCCAAATTTCTGGGTTGGCTGATGTGAGAACTCCCAGATGGCAGAGGCATTGCTCAAGTTCACACAGCTCACTGGTGGCCTAGGGGGACCCAGAGCTCAGGTTTTCTACTGCTCAGCCCAGTGCTCTTTCCACTACATCCAGCTGCCTCACTCAGGCTTTCAGCCCTGCCCCCCAGCCTAGGTTGTCTTCAGCTGGCTCTTCCTCCCACGTCCTCAGAAATAATTCTAAACTCTCACTGTCCCCTTCCAGTCTCTCACTTGGCCATCACCCACCTCAGTTTCAGGTATTGCCTCCCACCTAGTGTTTTGAGAACACTAGGGCTGTTAGGGCCCTTTCTTTCCATTCACAAGCCTACCTGTGGCTGAAGCCATCTGCACATGCTTTCTCCTAGTCTCAGAGGGTAACATTGCATTTCCCCTTGGTGCCCTTGACCCCACCCTTGACTCCATCCTTCCAACATCAACTCCAGGACCTTGCTCTACTCATCTCCGTTAGGCTCTGAAATGTGCTTGAGTTTCTCCCACCCTCAAAAACATTTCTTCTTAGACTCTATTTCCCCCTTCTCAATCTCTTCTCCCTTTTCATCCAAGTTTCCTTAAAAAATAGTCTACACTTGCTCTTCCCTATCACCTCACCTTCATCTCTACTCATTTCCATTGCTTTATACTCACACCATCCCATCAAAACTGTTCTAAATCACCCATGATTTTTATTTTGCCAAAGTCCACAGATTTAAACTTTTAAATATAGTCTTTTTATTTTTTGCAGTATAAGAGAGTATCAAGCAAAAAAAACCTTTAAAATATATTCTTAATTTAGTGAAGTCTCTTTAACATTTTACACTCTTGTTAATTCTCTCCTTCTATAAGCTCTCTACTCCCTTGGTTTCCATGGCATCACACTCATCTGATTATTACAGCTCTTTCCTGGGGTGTTTTTTTCTCTAAATGCCCCTTAAAACTTTATGGCCACACAGTTCCATTTATGTCCTCACAGTTTCATCTTCAGCCCCCTGTTCCTCACATCACACATGGTACTTGTATGATTTCAACAACCTCCATGGTTTTAGTTTCTGCCAATGTGTCCAGACTCCAGGTATCAACCTAGTTCATCCACTTCCTGTTGGGTATTTTTAACTGAATATTTGCACAGGTTCCCCACACTGTACCTTATACTCAGTCTGGCAACATTAACACTTATCTCTGCAGTTACACTAAGAGCTCTTTAGAGCATAAGCTTTGTATTCATTTTTATATCCTCCTGGCCTATCACATATTAGGATCTCACACATAATTGTTGACCAGTTGACCAACGGAGTGAATGAATGCTTCAGAGATCCACTGCTAAGCCAGGCTCTGAATTAGGGAGCACGTATCTTTTCTTTTCAGTTTCCTGACCTATGCTCCTTTGGACTATAAGATGGCGGCAGCAGGGTCCTCTCTCTAGCCAGTTAAGCACTCTGCTTTGATTTCTCAGAGACAAGGACCCCATTTCTCCCATTGGACACTGCTTCTTCTTTAGCAGAGAACAGTAAGAGACTCCCATTTTTGCCCTTCCTTCTTTGAACTCTAAGGTGACAGCTGAGGTGGACTCAAGGTTAGGGATACCAATATTCGTGTCTCCCTGGTGATGGCCTCTTCCCTTGGGTATTTTTCCAGGTTACAGGCCCTTACCTTGAAGAAGAATGATAGCTAGGATGAGGCCGGCCAGACCCTGCCCCTGCTCCATGTTAGTCTCTGTCCTTCCCTCAGTAGAACCGTGGAGCAGCCCTTAGCAGCCAGCGGCTTGTGCGGCAGCTAGACTGGCTCCGCCCAGCACCTTTGGGCTGGGGCCCTGCCAGAAGGCAAGAACCCAGAGCCTCCACCCTCTGCTGCAAGTGTGGGCAGCAGGGGCCTCAGCAGAGCTGCAGGTGCAGATGCCTCTTGCTTTTCTGTTAAGGAGGGGAGGGTGGGAGAGAGAGGGAGAGAGTGCTGGATTCGCACTCAGAGACTCACCTTGCACATAGAACTACTCTGGATGCTGGCTGGGAGATGGTCCAGGGCCTCCTTCTTCAAGAGGGAGATAAATGTCCCTGCTACCGTTGTTGCTAGGATTGCAGTCCGTTGTTGCTTGTGGCTGTTTGTTGTTGCTATAACGAATGAATTTAGGTGGAACTCTCAGGTGCTTGGGGCTAAAGCTCCAAATGCAAAGAAACCTCAGTCCAGTCTTCATTCAGGGATTTTTTTTTTTTTTTTCACTGTTCTTCTGGGATCATCAAAGAGGAGCCGGCCCGCAAGGGAATAGGTGGGACAATTCTAAGACAGGCCAGCACATTTCCAGGGACCGGGATCTGGACTGAATGTCTAACAGGGGTCCTCAAACTACGGCCCGTGGACCACATGCGGCCCGCCGAGGACATTTATCCGGCCTGCCGGGTGTTTTTGCCGCCACTGCCTGTCCTGCTTAGCAGCCGACTGGTCCCAGGGCCAACAGTGCTCATGTGTGAATTGTGTGCTGCACTCTCCAACGGCCCTCCAATGGTCTGAGGGACAGTGAACTGGCCCCCTGTTTAAAAAGTTTGAGGACCCCTGGCTAGGATCTCAGGCCCCTTTATCCCTCAGCCAGTCAGTTATCGAGTCAACACAAATTTTTTTTTTTTTTTTTTGAGACAAGAGTCTTGCTTTGTTGCCCAGGCTAGAGTGAGTGCTGTGGTGTCAGCTTAGCTCACAGCAACCTCAAACTCCTGGGCTCAAGCGATCCTGCTGCCTCAGCCTCCCGAGTAGCTGGGACTACAGGCATGCGCCACCATGCCCGGCTAATTTTTTCTATATATATTAGTTGGCCAATTAATTTCTTTCTATTTATAGTAGAGACGGGTCTCGTTCTTGCTCAGGCTGGTTTCAAACTCCTGACCTCAAGCAATGTGCCCGCCTCGGCCTCCCAGAGTGCTAGGATTACAGGCGTGAGCCACCTCGCCCAGCCGAGTCAACACAAATTTACAGAGCTCCGGTTACCTGCTAGGCCCAACAGACAGCAGTGAGACGTGACTCTGTCCTCAGGTAAATGACAGTCTAACTGAGGCAGGGTGAAGACTTTAAGATTTCCGTAGGCCACAGGGGAAAAAGGTTCATTTGTCTCCTGCAGAGGCTCAATTCTGCCTGGGAGTCAATTATATGGTAATAAATAACTATGTCTTACTGAGCACATACGGTGTGGCAGCCACCATGCAAAAATTTTGTTCGAATCCTTATAATGATGCTAGGGGAATCAGGCTCTGAAAAACTTCATGACTTGGCCCAGGCCCTGTGTGGGTATGCAGTGTCGGAGCCAGGATTCAAATCTCTAGCTGGGGGGCTCTAAAGCCCAAGCCCCCACTGGCAAGAAGCTGCTCGATGTGGTGTCCCAGGCTACCCAGTTCTGAGAAAGACCAGCTTCTAGGAGGAACCTAGCTGGTATGGCTTGTGGTACGGGGCTCACAGCTTCTCTCCAGGGGCTTTGAGAGGTGTTAGGCTTTTTTTTTTTTGAGACGGAGTCTCACTTTGTTGCCCAGGCTAGAGTGAGTGCCATGGCATCAGGCTAGCTCACAGCAACCTCAAACTCCTGGGCTCAAGCCATCCTCCTGCCTCAGCCTCCCGAGTAGCTGGGACTACAGACATGCGCCACCATGCCCGGCTAATATTTTCTATATATATATTAGTTGGCCAATTAATTTGTTTCTATTTATAGTAGAGACGGGGGTCTCGCTCTTGCTCAGGCTGGTTTCGAACTCCTGACCTCAAGCAATCCGCCCACCTCGGCCTCCCAGAGTGCTAGGATTACAGGCGTGGGCCACCTCGCCCGGCCAGGTGGCAGGTTTTAAGTAGCGAGTAAATGTAGTTACACTGTCAACAGGGGCTCTGAAGTTCAGGCAACCTTTTCCATATTCTCTGCCAGCTCCCCACTCAGAGAAAGAGCAATTTGCACCTGCTTCCTTCCTATGCAACCCCTACCCTACCCCCACCCTGGCAGTCTCCCATCATCAAAGGCAGAGAGCAGAGAAACAGACATCTTCTAGTTCCTCCCCAGCTCTTTACTTTTTCCGGTGCCTGTGAGTCAGTTGGGGGAGGGCAGCTCTCGCCCTGGCTGATAGTTTGGTGACCTCACTTTATGTACTGGATGAATTCCGCTGGGAGATGGAACACAGCAGGCTTCTGGCTGGGCTGATACTGGCTGCCCTTCTCCCCCAAGGTAAGGCTACTCCCCAGGTGGGTGGGGAAAGGGACCTGAGAGGGACATGACCCCTGGGAGCAAGGTCTACTTGAAAGTGCTTCTTAAGGCTAGCTTCAATTCACCAGGCACCCTAGGGTGTCAGGAGGGCAGGGCTGGGATGTAGCACAGGGTCCGGGAAGCAGGCTCTGGGCTCTGAATGACCCCAGCCAGCAGTACATGTTGGCCTTGAGCATCTCTCCATAGGCCTTAGATCAGAGATCTGTATGGTTCAGCGTTTGTGCGCCTGAACCTAGGGCGGGGATGGGAGCGGAGCCACATGTGCTGTTCCTCCCAGGGCTGATGGCCTCTGGGATCAGGACTCTTCATCCTTTGGCCAGATTACATCACCCTTGGAGCCATGCCACAGCACTTAGGGTAGTGCTTTAAGAGAAAAGTTAACTTTAGGTTGAGCGGGATGGGGGGCTGATTTGGGGGGTTATTAAATAGTTAGTGGGATTTCAACTCACCCCAGTTTGCCAGTTTCAGTTTTAAAACTGGACATCCCACGTTCCAGAAACCCCCCTCAATCCCAAGCAAGCTGGGTCCAATGATCACCTAATGGTCAACTGTACTGGGACACCCAGGATTTCCACTGGAAATAGATCCCCAAGGAAGACATGACTGGGATTTGAAGCATTTGATGTACATATGTCTCCCTGAGTATACACGTATATCCTCCTGACCTGATGAGAATATACGTGTATACTCAGAGAAGCAGCTACTTTGGAGTTTTCTAGAAGGTGCTGTGGCATCCAAATTGGTGACTTAATGTGAAGTGCGGGGAGAATGTAGATTCCACTATTCCCTGGGCTTGAAGGTACAGATTCCAGTGCCTCTGTGGGCTGTGGAGGTGCTCTCGGGCTGTCAAAGCAGTTCGATGGATCTAGAAAGGTGCTGTGCTCACCTCCAGCACTTAAAGTCTCCATAAGACTTGACTTGGGTGGAGTTCCAGGAATGGATCCAATAATTTTTTTTTTTCTGTTTCCTTCCTCTTAACCAAGGGTGGAACAACTAAAAATCTGTACATGGGACTTGCCCTGGCCCACTTTTGGCCCACTGGGCTGGTGACTCACACCAGCTTCTCCCTACCTGCAGCCATCCTTGGCCCTGGGAAAGGCTTTGGTCGTGAGAGTCCCATGCTCTTGGTTGTTGTTGTAGCAGGGGTATTGGGGAGGGGAGAGGACAAGAAGTTGGAGTGGAAGTGTTGGAGGTGGCTGAGAAGTAGAATTAGACATTTTCTTGAAGAAAGAATGCAGACACCTTCAACGAGTAATGTCCTTTTACCCTCCCATGGTTTCTTGCTTGCTTCAGCCGTCTATGCTCCCTCCTCCTCTCCAGTGGTCTGAACACATTTTTGGGAAGGTTCTTGGATCAATCAAGCCCCAAGCTTTCCTCTTTTGCTCCAAGTCCTTCAGGACCTGTTCTCTGCTGGAACTGCATCCTCGTGCCCTCTCTGGTCCCTGCAGTTTGTGGGAGAACTTCCTGAAGGCCTTTTCTTGTGAGTTCTATCTCTCCTAATAGAAATCATAAACTGACCTAGACTAGGAAAGTGATCTTTCTCAAGCATGAGCCTGAGCAGAACAAGGGGCCTGGCACAGACCCAAGAGCTGTCTCCAATTGTGGTCCCCCCCCCCCCCCCCCCCCAGCGAGCCCCTTCAAGATACCCGTGGAGGAAATTGAGGACAAAGTGTTTTTGAAATGCAATACCAACATCACATGGCTAGAGGGAACGATGGGAACACCCTTGTCAGAGAACAAAAGGCTGGACCTGGGAAAACGCATCCTGGACCCACGAGGAATGTATATGTGTAACGGGACAGATACAGATACGAATGCCAACCAACTATCTACTGTGCAAGTTTATTATCGAAGTAGGTGCCTCCTGGACCTTTTGGGTTGGAATGGATGGGGCCTCTGGATGTGAGAACTTTCTGGCCAGAGGGGCTGTGGTGAACCTATCTGTTCTCTAAACAAACTGCAGTCACTCATAATGGTACATGCTAGATTTGGGGGTATCAAAGTGGGAGAGAGAGCTTAACTAAGCAGGACAGAGCAGGAGGGGCCTTGCTACTGCAGCCTTGGTTGGGAGAGGGTCTGGCCCGCTGCCACTGCCCTGTCTAAGATGAGATTACGTCTTGGCTGTCCTTGGGGATTCTTTGGGATGAAGGGTGGAGGCAGATGTGGCAAAGCCATCACCAGGCCTTTCTCCCAGGATCTTACTGAAGTTTGGGTCTTGGCATGAGAGGTCCTATGGCTGCCCCCGAAGGCAGAGATGGTTCTCTGATCTTAAAGGCTGTCTACCCCTCTTCTCTCTTCCCTTCCCCCACAGTGTGCCAGAACTGTGTGGAGCTGAACCCAGCCTCCCTGGCTGGCATCATCATCACTGACATCATTGCCACTCTGCTCCTCGCTTTGGGAGTCTACTGCTTTGCTGGACATGAAACTGGAAGGCTCTCTGGGGGTTAGTGGAGGGCCAGAGCATGTGTGTGTGTGTGTGTGTGTGTGTGTGTGTGTGTGTGTGTGTACCAATGAGCTCAAGCGCCAGCTAAGGAATGGGGCTGGTGGTAGGTTCGGTCTCATCTGGGAGTCACTCTTGCAATCTACTAAGGACTCCTGCAACAAATTCTTCTTGTTAGAAGAGTTTGTGGGCACACATTGCTCGTGCAGATTTCTGAGGGTGTGAGAGGGTGTGACCAGCTGCAGTCCCCCCACCGTGTTCATGGGGGTCTCACCGTCCTATCTTCCTAGACTTTTGATGACTCTCTTTCTCTGGTTTTTCTAGCAGCTGACATTCAAGCTCTGTTAAGGAATGACCAGGTCTATCAGGTGAGCCCTGAGGGGAAGGAGGCATGAATGAGAGGAGGAGTGAGTGGAGAGAGAAGCTGACGGGATGAGTGCTGCGCATGTGTGAAGGGTCCTGGTGGGGCATTCCTGTTTGGGGGTGACTGGAGAGGTGAGGCATGAACACTCATCCCCTGAGCCTGCTGGGTCCTCCCTAGGAGGGTTCTGCTACTACCTTTTGACCGTCCTCCCTTCTCCTCTCTTAGCCTCTCCGAGATCGGGAGGATGTTCAGTACAGCCGTCTTGGAGGAAACTGGCCTCAGAACAAGTGAACCTGGAACTAGCGGATCTAGAAACATCAGTTGTCAATTGTACCTTCCCTCCTTGCTCAGCCAATAAAGAAATCCTCTTTCACTCAGCAGGTGCCTGGACTTTTCAAGGCTCCTGGGCAAAGGATGACAATTGTCCTGACTTGGCTGGGACCTTGCCTTCCCTGTCCACCTGTGTCCTTCCTTTATCTCTTCCCTTCCTCTGCCCCACATGGATGGTGTGATGGGCAGTCTCCCACCACACTCTGGCCCTCTGGTGTTTGTAGCCCGGTGGGCTCGCTGGGGGAAGTGTTCCCACCACACTCCCATGGCTACTTGTTGACTCCAGTCACCTCTCACAAAGCTTCCAGGGTTTGTGCTGCCTCACCACAGCCACAGGCAGGCTGCTGTGTTCAGGAGCCCAGCCACACAGAAGTTTCCATGACATCATGAGCCGGGGCGGTGGCAACATCAAGGTACCTGGGACTCACTTCTTACCAAGACTCAGAGCATGTGTGCGACAAAGTCCCACTGCTGCAAAGGGGCTGGCCTCAGCTTTATGGCCCTGGTGAGCAGTTGCCACCAGCTTCCTTTCCCCAGGATCTGTCCCTGGATTGCTCCTGCCTAATGCATGATACACGAATCCCTTCATCCATTAAAACACATTATCTCATGATGGAGACTCAGACTTTTGGGGGGAGGGGGGAAATGGGCATTTATTGAAACCTTAAAATCTGTACCCCCATAATATGCCAAAATAAAACAAACAAACAAACAAACAAACAAAAAAAACACATTATCCCTCTCCATCTACCTGGAAAGCTAGAGTTTGAGACTGGATGGGGGCTTGGGAAATTTTTAAATGGTGTCATCATTAGCCAGTGGATTAGTGGTGGTTCTGAAACTTTGGGAGCCTGAGGGATATATTAAAAATATAGATACTTAGGTTCTATTCTAGACATGGGGTCCCCGGGTGATTCTGAAGCAGCTGAAATTGAGAGTCTCTGGTTTAGAGGAAGAATTGAAGCCACTTACTCTATTGTGTCCTTTATGACAGTTTCTGGATCCTAGGACTGGGAAGAACCCCTCTTTTTTTTTTTTTTTGAGATAGAGTCTCACTCTATTGCTTTGGGTAGAGTACAGTGGCATCACTGTGGTTCACAGCAACCTCAAACTCCTGGGCTCAAGCAATCCTCCTGCCTCAGCTTCCCAAATAGCTGGGACTAAAGACATGCGCCAGTATGCCTGACTAGTTTTTCTATTTTTCGTAGAGACAGGGTCTCACTCTTGCTCAGGCTGGTCTCAAACTCAAGCTATCCTCCCGTCTTGGCCTCCCAGAGTGCTAGGATTACAGTTGTGAGCCACTGCACCAGCCAAACCCCTCCTTTTGTTCTCAGATTTCACAACTAATTTAAAGAGCTTCGGGAGAGTTTAATGACATCGGGAGTTTCCTAGACCAGGATTCCCAAAGGAGAAAGGAATTAACAACCATATAGCCAAAGAACAGGGCGATTCTGCTTACCATCTCCTCAAGATGCACACAGACTCTAATTTCATGAGAAATAGAATGCACTTCCAGTTTACACACGTGTCGGTCTTGATTTATTCCTACCCTTTCTATCCTTACCACTGTAGTCCCCTAACCCAAACCCTTGCTTTCTCCCTGGATCTCTCTACCCTGGGCATCCCTTCCCTGGCCTATATCTCACCAATGATTTGGATCCTTCCCATGCACTGCACATTTCTTAATACCTTGTACTCCTCATATTCTCTCACACCTCCCACTCACCAGTTCTCAGTGTTGGCTGCAGTTTGGAATCTCCTAGGGAGATTTTAAAATACTAGTGCCAGCTGGGTGCAGTGGCAAACACCTGTAGTTACAACTACACGGGAGGCTGAGGTGGAAGGATGGCTTGAGGCCAGGAGTTTGAGGCCTCAGTGCACTATGATTGTGCCTATGAATAGCCACTGCACTCCAGCCTAATCAACATAGTGAGACCCTGTCACCCCACCCCCCAAAAAACCCCAAAACTGGTGTCTGGGTGCCACCCCCAGAGATTCTGCTTTTATGAATCTAGGGTGCAGCTTGAGCATCAGGACTTTTAAAACTGCCTAAGGTGATTGTGATGTGAAGCCGAAGTCAAGAAACACTGCCCTCCATCTGAGCCCTTCTGGAAACTTGTGTCCTGTCTGGCTCTTTGTTTTGGTGCTTTCAAGAAACAGCTTTATGGGTTGGGCATGGTGGCTCACACCTGTAATCCTAGCACTTAGGGAGGCTGAGGTGGGAGGATGCTTGAGGCAAGGAATTCAAGACCAAATTGGGCAACATCACGAGACCCCCATCTCTACAAAAAGTAGCCCGATGTGGTGGTGTGCACCTGTAGTCCCAGCTACTTGGAAGGCTGAAGCAGGAGGATCACTTGAGCCCAGGAGATTGAGATTGCAGTGAGCTGTGATGACGCCACTGCACTCATACCTCAGCAACAGAGTAAGATCCTGTCTTCAACAAACAAACACCCCCCACCCAACACAGCTTTTTAAAGGAAAACTGGCATGAATAAACTGCACATATTTAAAATGTGGTAAGTTTTGACATATGTATCTACTGGTGAAACATCACCACAATCAAAATAATGAGCCTTTCCAACACCCTGAAAAGATCCTTCTCCTCCTTATTCCACCCCCACCCCAGGCAACCACTGATCCACTGTCACTACAGATTAATTTTCATTTTTCCAGAGTTTCATATAAATGAAATAATATATGCAATCTTTTTGGTCTAGAGTCTTACACTCAGCATAATTATTTTGAGATTCATCCACCCTGTAGCACATTCATTCCTTTTTATTGTCCTGTAGTACTCTTTTGTGCGGATATACCACACTTCACTTATCCTTTCACCCGTTGAGAGTCTTTTGGGTTGTTTCATGATTCAGGCTATTACAAATTAAGCTGCTATGAGCATTCATATATCAGTCATTGTGTGAATATATATTTTCATTTCTATTGGATAAATACTCAGAGTGGAATAGCTGGGATGCAATTTTTTTTTTTTTTTTTTGAGACAGAGTCTCGCTTTGTTGCCCAGGCTAGAGTGAGTGCCGTGGCGTCAGCCTAGCTCACAGCAACCTCAAACTCCTGGCTCAAGCAATCCTCCTGCCTCAGCCTCCCAAGTAGCTGGGACTACAGGCATTCACCACCATGCCCGGCTAATTTTTTTCTATATATATTAGTTGGCCAATTAATTTCTTTCTATTTATAGTAGAGACGGGGTCTTGCTCTTGCTCAGGCTGGTTTCGAACTCCTGACCTCAAGCAATCTGCCCGCCTCGGCCTCCCAGAGAGCTAGGATTACAGGCGTGAGCCACCGCGCCCGGCCTGGGATGCAATTTTTAAAGAAAATTGTTTTGGCTATTTTAGGTCCTTTGCACTCCCATTTGAATTGGCTTCTCAGTTACAACAAAAATGCCTGCTGTGATTTTGATCAGGATTGCATTGAATTTATAGATCAATTTAAAACTAACATGTTAACAATATTGAGTCTTCCAATCTATGAATATATCTTTTACCATATTTCTCCCTAAGTATTTAATATTTTTGATGCAATTATATTTAAAAAATTTTAATTTCCAATTGTTCATAGCTAGTATATAAAGATACAACTAATTTTTGTATATTGATCTTGTACCCTGCAAACTTGCTAAACCCACTTATTAATTCTAGTAGCTACCAAACATTGGGTATTCTACATAGACAATCACATTATCTGTGAAAAAAACAGTTTCATTTTCTACTTTCCTATTTGTTTCAGTTTGTTGGCTTATTGAACTGGCCAGTACTTCTAGTACAATGTTGAATAGAAGGGGAGAACAGTTTTGCCTTTTTCATGATCTTGGGAGGAAGCATTGTCTTTCATCATTATGGGTAATATTAACTATAGGTTTTTCTTAGATGGCATTTAACAGATTGGGGAAGTTCTCTTTCTAGTTTGCTGAGAATTTTTGTCAAAAATAGATGTTGGGTATTGTCAAGAGCTTCTTCTGCATCGAGATGATAATATGATTTTACTTTTTTAGTCTGTTAACATGGTAAATTAAATTGATGACGTGATATGTTAAACCAACCTTGCATTCTTGAAAAACTCTAGTCATTATGTATTATTTTTATATATTATTGGATTAAATTTGCTAAAATTTTGTTAAGAATTTTTGTATCTATGTTATAGAGGAGTTTGTCTATAATTTTCTTTTCTTGTAATGCCTTTGTACGATTTTGATATCAGGATATATTAGGGTTTCCCAGAGAAACAGAACTGAGCTACAGATCTAAAGTATTGAGAAAAAATAGATAACTGCATCCGTTCTGAACGTGTACAGATGTTTTTCTTGTCATTATCCCCTATACAATATAGTACAACTATTTACATAGCATTTACATTGTGTTAGGTATTATGAGTAATCTAGAGATGATTTAAAGTATCCAGGAAGATATATGTAGGTTATGTGCAAACTGTCCTTGCAACTTGATCTTTCCTCTCCATCGAATGCTCACATCTCTCCTGTGCTTAAAATAAGCTTGCCCTTGACCCTGTGTCACCTCTGCCCAACTAAAACATGAGACAAAATAGGTAAAAACAATCGTTTTTAAGACTTGGACACCAGGCAACAATGGAAAGTGATCTCTGAGAGGTGGATAAAAATAAAGGAACACTATTTTCTTTTTTTTTTTTTCTTTTTTTTTTTTGAGACAGAGTCTCACTTTGTTGTCCAGGCTGGAGTGAGTGCCGTGGCGTCAGCCTAGCTCACAGCAACCTCAAACTCCTGGGCTCGAGTGATCCTTCTGCCTCAGCCTCCCGAGTAGCTGGGACTACAGGCATGTGCCACTATGCCCGGCTAATTTTTTATATATATATATCAGTTGGCCAATTAATTTCTTTCTGTTTATAGTAGAGACGGGGTCTCGCTCTTGCTCAGGCTGGTTTTGAACTCCTGACCTTGAGCAATCCACCCGCCTCGGCCTCCCAAGAGCTAGGATTACAGGCGTGAGCCACAGCGCCCGGCCTGGAACACTATTTTCTATAAAGGACTTGAGTATTTGTAGATTTTGGTATTCCTGGAGGGGGGGATCCTGGAACCCATCCTCCACAAAGGAATGGGATGACTGTATATACACTCTACTGGTTCTGTTTTAGAGAAATTGGCTCATGTGATTGTAGAGGCTGGCATGTCCAAAATATGCAGGGTATGCTGGCAGGTTGGGGACCCAGGGAAGAATTGCTATTGTAGCTGCCCAAAGACAGTCTAGAGGCAGATTTCCTTCTGCCTGTCAAAGAACCTCAGGGTGTTTTCTCTTTAACGTTCAAGTGTTTGGATGAGGTCTACCCACATTATAGAGGGTACTTTGATTTACTCAAAGTTACTGATTTAAATGTTAATCTCATTTACAAAAATACTTTCATGATAACATCCTATTATATTACATCAAATATTTGGGTATCATGGCCTAAGTGGACACATAAAATTAATGAGGATCATCAACACAGGGTAAATCTGGTCTCTATAGATTGAGTTGGAAAAATTTCCTTCTTCAATTTTCTGGAAGGGTTTATACAGAATTGGTTTTATTTCCTCTTCAAATGTCTGGTAGATTTTACCAGTGAAGTCATCTAAGTCTGCAGTTTTCTTTCTGGAAAGATTTTTTAACTAAAAATTCAATTTATTTAATAAACAGATATTTAGTTTAGTTCATCTTTAGTGAGCTGTTTCAAGGACTGTGTAAATTTTTTCTAAGTTGTCAAAATTTATTGGGATGAAATTTCACCATGAAGTTTGGGGGACAAACATCCAAGCTATAGTAAGGGCCCTTTGTGGGTCCCTCCAGGTGCATTTCTCTCATGGCTTGCACGCTCTCCTGTAAACTCTAGAATTCTTGGCTTCCTGTCTCTGTCTGCTCACCTCAGGGAGATCTTTGGGCTCTGCCTGGGGTCTCCCTCCCTGCAAACTCTCTCTAGGTGGTAAGCTGGAACAATCTGAGGGCTTCCCTTGTTTCTCCCCACCTCTCAGGGATCACTGACCATTGTTGCCTGGTGTCCAATGTCTTAAAAGCTATTGTTTTCACCTACTTTGTCTCATGTTTTAGTTGGGCAGGGAAGCTGGACTAAGATGGCTCCTGGACACTCTGACCAGCTCTCTCTGGGAACTGAGTGTGCTGTGGGAAGCTGAGAACGAAGCCTTCCCACACCAGCCCCTGGGCCCCTGGCTGCTGCCTCTGCATCTCTCTCCCTCTAGCCCCAGGGCGTGAAGAAGCAAGCGCAGCCCACATCCTGCTGCCTAACCGCAGCCTGCCTCTGGGTGGGGGAGCATGGCCTGCTTGAGAGCACCCCCCTCCTCCCTTCCCCAGCCCTGGCAGCTGATGGAAACCTGTGTCTACCCCCAAACCCACCCTTCTCTTACCTTCATCTGCCTTCAAGGCCTCTGTTTCTATCTTGCCCATTCTTTGAACTGACCTCCCCGCCCATCAGGGATCCATCAGTCACTTTCTGCCATTTTTGATGCTTTCCTCCAAGAGAAGGAAACTTTTCCTTCTTTCTCTCCTTCCTTCCTTTTTTGTTCTGTCTTTCCTTCCTTTTTTCTTTCTTTCTCCCTTTTTTTCTTTTTCTTTCTCTTTCTTTCTTTCACCCCTCCCTCTCTCTAGCACTCCCTCTCTTTCTCTGATGCCCTCTCCAAAGAGCTTCAGATAATGCCCCCACCAGCTGTGAAAATAGGCAGTGCTCACATTTGGGATCATAACAGAGGTATTTAGTAAGAGGTAGCGAGGACCTGTGTGCTCTTAGGAAACAAGGGCCTAACAGAAAAGAGGACCAGCAACTCTTTCAGCCAAATATGCTTTATTTTCTCTCTCTCAGCTGAGAGGAGCCAGCACATTTATGGAGATGCAAATGGCCATGCAGTGGCTTAAGGTAGAGACAAAGGGAGGTAGCAGGGGCAGGATCTGTGAGTGGGACAGGACCTCTGCCCAGTCCATCCCCAGAAAGGGTTGCAGAAGAGAGAGCAGGAAAAACAGAGAGGTAGATGGAATGGGGGACAACTCATACACAGGAAAAGGAAGGAACTGAAGGGAGAAGTAACATCCCTTGGGGACAGGAAGAGTTGGCAGGGAGAGAATAACAGAAATAAATATCCTGACAAGAGTGGCAGGCCAGGTGTGAGGGTATAACTAACAATAATGTTTCAAGGGACAACACGGCAGCAATGTCCTAGGACTGGTCACCAGCAGAGCAGGCAGGAAGGAGGGAGCTGGGGACAAGGCTGTAGGGTATGAGTTCATCACTGGTTCAGGAACAATCCTCCTGTGGGGTCCAAGACTTGCCCAGGGAATGGGGAGAAGCAGGGTGCCAGGAGAGGAGCCAGACCAGTGGGAGGCAGCGTGCTGTATGGTCTGTCCTCAGATGCCTCTCTGATTCAAGCCGGAATACACTTCTCGCTGGCCTTTCCGGATGGGCTGGGGTGGAAGGGAGAGCGGGTGGTCAGTAGGGTGGGAAGATGTGCTTCTTAAGAAAGAAAGGGCACTAAAGATCTAGCTTTTGTGCAGCGGAAAGAACTTGTGGGATTGGAGTGAGGAGGCGGCTCGAATTCTAACCTCGTGGAGATGGGTAGGGGACTTGACCCAGTCACCTCCTTTTGTGAGCCTCAGCTTTCTCATCTCAAAAATGGGACTCTAGAGACCCATCTCCCCGGGCTTTTCTTAGGGTTAAAGAAGTCACTAATGCTTAAGTAAATACTTAAATGCCCAATAAAGTAAATGTCCAATAAATATTTGTTGAGTGTATCTAGGTGTGATATTCAAAATACTTAACAGCTGGTAGTGCACACACTGCTATGTCAGGCATTAACTCTTCAGTTACCGCAAATCAAGAGGCAGCCCAGTGGCGGAGGGGCTGTGATATGTAGGGGTGTGTGTGTGTGTGTGTGTGTGTGTGTGTGTGTGTGTGTGTGTGTGTAAGAGATAGGGTGGGCTGGGGTGGGAGAAGCTTGGGGCTATTTACCAATGAGGTACGTTAATAACTGGTATGACTACATTGGTGCATACTGGTGGAATATCAGCCCTGAATTTATTGTGTTAGAGTTTGCATATATGATATTCTCTATGGTTGTATCCCAGATTATGAATAAGCCAGAGAGAGAGTAGTGTGTCTCCCCCCGGCCCACCACCCCTTCTTGTTGCGGGAGCTGTGTAGCCTTGAGGTGGGCCTGTCCTACCATGGAGGAGGCAGAGGTGGGCACATGGGGGGTTGCTGGGAGCCCTGGGTGCAGGGCTTTGAAGTATCTGGCAGAAGAGATGGACCAGGGGTCCTCAAACTTTTTAAACAGGGGGCCAGTTCACTGTCCCTCAGATCGTTGGAGGGCTGGACTATAGTTTTAAAAAAACTATGAACAAATTCCTATGTATACAGCACATATCTTATTTTGAAGCAAAAAAACAAATGGGCAAAAACACCCACATGTGCCCCTCAGGCCATAGTTTGAGGACGCCTGAGATGGACAGTCTCACCTGTTCCCCCTTCCCACTAGAAGGACTCCCACCACCCAGCTTCCTGGCCCACTCTATCCCCCGTTACCTCGTAGTCTGGGTTAGGAACAGGTGGTGGCCTCTCCTTGTTTTGTCCTGCAGAAGAGGGAAGGGAAAAGTCTTTGTTTCCATGAGGGAACACCAATCTGGCAGCACTGACTGTGCCAATGAGACCCCATTGGAGGATGGCAACCCCCTTTGTTCTCTACAACTCCCCTTTCCACTCAACCCCCTTTTCTCGTCTCTGTCTTTTGTCCCATCTCTAAGGACCCTCATGCCGATCTCACCAATTTGTGACTTTCCTCAGCTCAAGGTCCTCTCATTGTTTGTTTCCACGGGGAAGGGAAAGGAAAAGAAAGGAACTAATATTTCAAAGTTTCTCTTCCCACAGCTAGGGGATGGGATCTGATTACTGCAGAGCACTGACAGGCATTTGAGGGAGCCCATCATGCTCATAAGCTTTTTTACACTTTTCTAGAGTGGGAAGGAGAGAAGTGATCTGAGATGCAAAATCCTCTGTTGAGATAGGGTGTCAGAGCGAATGCCCTGCAGAAGCTGTTTTGACCCAGCTGTGGATGTGCCACCCGCCCTGGCCCCGGCTGGACGGCCCCCTTGGCAGGAATCTCCCCCGACCCAACTCCGCAGTCTTACCCCTGGGCCTGCCGCCAGCACCCATGCCTCGCGTCACAGGCTTGGCCTTGGCCTTTCTATTCTTGCTCCAGCAATAAACGAGCACCATCAAGCCCAGAGTGATGCAGACATCAACTATGACAATTGCGGCCACCGCCATCACGTCCACCTCCATGCAGTTCTCACACACTGTGGGGCGTGGGGGTGGGGAGAAGAGAATTCCACTGATTTAGGAAGACACGAGGACACTGGAGGTGAGGAAGGAACAATGAAGGCCATTCTCCCCTCCATGTCACATGCTTGCCACGGCCAGAGCCCTCCCTTTCAATATGTTTATAACAAAAACAACAAGCAAAGTGTGGTGGTTATGGGCAGAAGCTCGAATCCCGGGTTCGAATCTCAGCTTCATTACTCACTAGCTGTGAGAATTGTGAAATGTGTTTTCAACTCACGAAGCCTCTGTTTCCCCATCTACAAAATGGCAATTGAATAACTCATGTGGTTGTTGAGAGGATTACCTAAAAAAAAAATCCCTGGTAAGTGTTTCGTACAGTGCTTGAAACTTAACGAGCACTCACTAAATGTTAGCTATCGTTACTATTTTATTATTATGCCTAAGTTTATGATGTTTCACGATAATAGTTTTGAGTCTTTTTTGCAAGTTCTTCTGAAGAATTTATCTCTGGATACAGCATTATAGAAACTCACTGCTAAAATTCTGGGTGTGAGACAATCTAAATGACCCAATCCTGTCTCTTGGGAATCCTGATCTAAAATATTAGATCTAAGGCCGGGCGCGGTGGCTCACGCCTGTAATCCTAGCACTCTGGGAGGCCGAGGCGGGTGGATTGCTCGAGGTCAGGAGTTCAAAACCAGCCTGAGCAAGAGCGAGACCCCGTCTCTACTATAAATAGAAAGAAATTAATTGACCAACTAAAAATATATATACAAAAAATTAGCTGGGCATGGTGGCCCATGCCTGTAGACCTAGCTACTTGGGAGGCTGAGGCAGGAGGATCGCTTGAGCCCAGGAGTCTGAAGTTGCTGTGAGCTAGGCTGATGCCATGGCACTCACTCTAGCCTGGGCAACAAAGTGAGACTCTGTCTCAAAAAAAAAAAATAAATAAATAAAATAAAATAAAATAAAATAAAATAAAATAAAATATTAGATCTAACACAGATTGAGGCTACCCAGACAGCCCCCTATTGGTGTTCTATCATATTCCAGAAAACGCTGATGCTGTGTGGCTCCAGAGTGTCCCAGGGTTGAGTGTAGGAGGAAGCACAAAGATGCTAGGGGACTGTGAGTTGGGTCAGGGGAAATCATTGAGAATTCCCCTTTGAAATGGTCCTCCCTAAGGGGCCTACTGGGGCCTTTTCTGGAGACCTGTATTACCTCTTGCTTTCAGGTAGAGATAGTGGTTCTTTTTCTTCGAGTCTGTGTAGCAGGTATAATAACCGCTGTCCTCCGTTTCTGAAAATTCCTTCCACAATAGCTGCTTTTCGTTCTGATACTCGGATAATGCTTTACCATTTTTTTCCCAGTGTATTTCAGATTCAAGATCCAGAGGGCATGTCAGTTCTACTGTGGTCCCTGAGATAGAGACTTGATATGCTGGGGAATAGGAGCAAAAGGAGGGAAATTGGAGGGAGAAACCAGGGAATTTTCAGAAAAGGCAAATTAGTGACAAAAGAACCAACCAAATGCAGGAAGACATCTGTCATGCAGGTCTTAGATTTGCTTGTCAGAAGGGTGTTTTACTTGCTGGAGAGTGTGAAGAGGGGATGTGTGGGGGAAAGAAAACTAGAGAACATTTTGAAGGTGGCTTCAGGGTTTAGGCAGGGACATGGGGACTTGGGAAGGGGAGGATGAACATTAGTATCTGGAAACTTTCTGAAATGGGTGATGAGCATGTAAAGTTGGGAGGACCTCAGTTCTTGGGGTTAATCTCTCTCAATCAGTTCTTTCTCCTTTACCCACCAATCTGTATCCTCAGACAGGGAGTAAACAAAAGATTGATAAACTCACGTTTCAGCATAAGACCATCTGAAAATGAAAAAAGGAAAGAGCGGTAAGAAAATATTCTGGTTTAAGTTTAAATAGTAGGTAAAATTTTTCTAGTGGGACTAGACACTGCCTCCAAGAATTCCCAAAGTGGGTCTCATCATTTAGGGACCCCTAAGTCTTGAAGGTGAGGTATGTACCTAGCCATGAGATTTAGCTCAGAGATATAACTTGGCTCTTAGATGCAAGTAACTTAGCTTATAGATATAACTCAGGTACATCAAGTTAAGACTATACCAGCATGTGCTTCTAGACCCAAACCCTCTGAAGATCAGAAAGTCTTAAAGTCCTAAGGCTGAAAAATTCTAGAAGTCTCTTGCCTCCAGCATTAGCCAGAACCGTATTCCAGATATGAAACAGCCTTCTCAGAGACAAAGACCTCTACACCACTGCATCACTCATTCTTGGGCTTACCTATTTCTCGTTATTCCGAAATTGTTTCTTATAGCTAACAGAGTCCCTCATAATAGAGAACAAACATCTTCTTATTCCGTATAATTGTCTCTGTTATTGCCTTTAAATGATGTAAAGCACCTATACATTTTGAGGAAATGGTTCTTTCAATAAAAATTGGCTTTATATTATCTTTGAACATAATCAACTCTCAGTTATTTTTTGTCAGAGGGAAGGCCCATTGGTGTGGACGGATGAAATCAACTCATAATTCACTAATGCTATCTGGGGATCTAGCCAAATTCCGCACAGCAGCTAGTTTTGCGCTGGGAGGTAAAGCTGAGTCCACCTTTGTTTCCTGGAAACCTTGTGGCTGAAACACTGGGCCCTGAGGAGCCTGGGCATGGCCGCTGGAAGACGGGAGAGGTGGTGGTGCTCGGAGACAGCACGCTACTGCGGAAGGAGCACTGGACTCAGAGTCAGAAGCCTTGTGTTTGAATCCCAGCTCTGGGCAAATCATTTACCTTCTCTGAGCCTCAATTTCCTTATCAGGGAAGTGGAACTAAAACACCCACCTCACAGGGTTTTTGTGAGAATTAAAGGGATAAAGAGGGTGAAAGTGAATGGCACATAGCATATGCTCAAGAAAGATGTCACTTCCTTTCCTCTTTTCCTTCTTGGGGTCTTGCTGCCATGGAAAACAGAACTGAGCTCTGACCCAGTTGCTCAGGCAGCCCTCTGGCCGAGGCAGAAGACAATGCAAATTATTCCCCAGGCTTTCTACTTGCTAATAATTGGGAGTTGAATATAATGACCATAGACACTTGATATTATTTTGACTCATAAATAATTTTTCAGCACTGATGTTTCTTAGAAATGTTAAGTGAACTAGATATCATAAATAAAATGGCTTAAAAGCAAATAGACATTATATTCTGCTTGGTATGTTTGTTTGAAAAAAAGGAATGTAAAGAAAATTGCTCACAACTTTAATTGGCATAAATTCAGTAGGAGAGCTTAGACTTTTTCATGCTCATACAAGAGTCTAGATGTCTAAGCTTAGACATAAGTGTTCTTACACAAGACCATTGGCTTCTTGAGAGGAGGGAATTAGCAATGGGTTCATATGTTTTGTTCATTTATTCATTCAAAAATATTCATTGAACAGCTAATATGTGCCAGACCCTGGCCTAGGTATATGAGACATTGTCTCTGCCTTCAAGGATCTCATGGTTTATACAAAAACGCATGGTAGCTCCAACCCACACCTACATTTGTGTTCTCACCTGACTGACTGTGTGCTCAGGAATACATATACACATAGCTATAACAAGACATGACAGCAACAAATACAGGCATGTTTCATACAGATTCCATTGAAAGATAGCTGTATTTTCCTTTTACTAGTTCTAGTTCTCAGTGCTTATTACTGTTCCTGTCCGCTATGATCATTTTGTCTCCCATTTTTTTTTAATTGGCTGAATTTAAGTAAAATTGTTCCACATTTGAAAAGAGTTCATATAGAGTGAAAATCCTCTTACCAGTTTCTTCATTGTCTGAAAAGGAAAATGACAAGAGGCCATTAGTAATATTTCTATCAGCAGCTAAGATCAGACCCTCCTCCCATGGGTTAGGACTCTTCCCTCAACCTTTTGGAAACAATGGATCTTCAAATTTTCTTGGCTGTTCATGAAAAGCTGTTTTGAGCCTTATATCCTATATTAAATATCTGAGGGCTATTTATAAAAATGGCTCCACAGTGCAATGTAGATGAGCAGTGTTTGCATTTAAATACACCATTGGTTCACTCAGTTTGGAAGAGCTGATTGGATAGAGAGGCTTCTTGTGTTGCAACACACGGAACTCTTACCGCTATGATTGAGAAAGTAAGTCCAGGGTAAGCACACTCACACATGTGCACACACATGAACACACATGGAGGCACATTCAGAGTATTCAGACATGTGATTCTGAGTATGTACCCAAATATTTCCCCAGAGGCGTATCCAGAGTAACCCTGTGCACGTATTCTGGCCACATAACCTCCACAAAACCTCACAGCAAATGTAAAATGCAGACAAACGAGAATGGTTGGCATTTTCAACTTAACAGTCGAGATTTTGCTTTTGAATAATTAAGACTTGTTATTTCCTGTGATCTCTGTTGCTTCACTTGGCTAGAAATATCTCTAGATTTATGAGAAAAAGGCAAAGGAAAAGATGGGAGCAATCCCTTTCACTGGTCTCTGTGGAAGTTCTGTGAGAGGCTGAGAGAAAGTTCCACTCATAAATACAAAGAATGTTGGGCTGATTTTATAGCAAAGAAAGAAAGGGTATCTTACCTTCCTGCCCCCAAGTGCCAACTAGAAAATAAATAATAATAATAAAAAGTTAGTAAATATTGTGGGTGCCTGCAATTCCAAACACAAAGAGGGCTGTGTTATGGCGCCTGAAGTCCCTCTCAACTACGGTTAGATCCTAGCCATTTCTATACCCCAGGAAAGTAAACTTATTGCTGGGTATTGACCAGGGGTTCCTGGGCAGTTTGGGAAGAAATAGAGCAAGAAAGCATCTAGCATTAAATATGAGATCAGAAGTGTTTGGCAAGCAGAAATCAGAAAAAGTTAGGACTGCTTTTTGGATGACTGGAGAAATATCAAAAGAATTTTGCAACCAAGCCTCCATTTTGAAAGTTGGTCTCTGTGAAAGAAAAACAAGCCCTTGGTTGGGTATAAATGTTGGGATTCTTGTTTCATCTCTAGCTCCTGCTTGTCTGATGGTTCAGTTTTTCCATTTGTTTTCTGCTTGAGACAGAGGTGGAAATATTTGAAACCCCGATTACTCATCAACTAGAGCCCGTGCGTTGAAGAGCTCGATCACATTTCCACAGGGCCCTCCAAAGTCTCCTCACTCAGCATTAACTAGGGTTTCCCTGGCATTGCCTGAAAATTTTCTGTATACCTAAACTGTTCTTTTAGCAAAGCCTCTACTTTGGTGAGACACGCTCCCTACCGCCCTATCCCCAGAGCAGACTGGGTATGTTCTTATGATGTTAAAATTCTCGGGGTGCTAGGTCTTTGATATTCTACTTTTTCTTTTTTTTAAGAAAAAGCATAGTTTTTCTTAAAACTGCCCCTGCTACTCAATATGTTCCTTGGACCAGTAGCAGATTAATAACTTTGAGAGCTTATTAGACACGTGGAATCTCAGTCCCTGCTGCAGGTTTCCTGAAACAGAAGCTGCATTTTAACACGAACCCCAGGTGATTTGTGTGCACATTCAAGTTTGAGAAACCCAAATGAGTTAGGGGCCCCAGCTGTGATGGCCTTGTCTAGGTTTTTGAAATAAAACCCTCATGAGCCATTTTGCCTCATGTGATGCAGTCATTCAAAACACAGGCCTTGCAGACAGACAGTCCTGAATTCTCAGATCAGCTTCAGCACTTACTGTGTGGTTTTAAACAAGTTATTTAACATTTTTGAGTATCAATTTCTTCATTCGTACAATAGAGGATATAACACCTTCCTTCCAAGGTAGAAGTAAGGTGTTATCAGTTAACACACATAAAGACTTTTTTCTTAACATAGTACCTGGCACTCAGTAAATGGCAACTTTAAAAAAATATATTATTTATCTCATATGAAATATGTAAATGGTCTTAGTTATCTGTCAATTTATATCCCACCTTGATTCAAAAAGGACAAAACTAATTGAAAGCTCTTGATCACCTAAAAAGGCCTGAAAATTATGAGGCATTTTATTGTCTCAAAGATACTAAACTTGCTGTGTATACCCTGTGCAGTTTGGGTCCAACTATCTGATCTCCCCAAAACAAGGAGTGGAGCTTTGCTCTCTAACCTCTTTTCTGTTAGTTCTTAAGGGCTCAGTAAATTCACCAACAGAATTTGGTCAATATATAGGATCATTCCCACTGCTTTTCTTTGACTGCTCTTGGAAGGCTCCCCCAGGCACCTGGGGCATATCTTTCTCGTTAGCCTCCGGCTCCAATTCCCCACCCTAATGTAGCACAAACAGTTCCTTACGTCTTCTATTAGATTGAGGCTTCTTGGTGCCACTGGGCAGTGCCAGGTAAGGCCGTGAGCCTTCCAGTGGTCTGGAGACACATCACCCTTTTTCATTCCCTCCTACTCACCTGATAAGAGGCAGAGTCCCAGAACTCTCCAGACAGTGCCCGACTGCATCTTCCTCTCACAGGACGCTCACTCTACTAAGATGGCGGAGACACGGCAGCTTATGACTGCTGAAAAAAGAAATCAGAGGATTTTTTCCAAGACATCTGCTGGAGATAAGGCCCCTGGGGCCGTTGTTTGCAATGCTAGCATGAAAAAGGGGTCTTTGTCAGAGGGAGACTCACCATTTTCCTAAGCAAGCACCGGAGGCTGGGAGGGGAGGCGGGTTTTTGAACCCCACACAGGAAGTGTCGAGGGGCCTGGTGGTTCTACCTCTCTTGGAAACATTCAAGGCACAGGCCTCCACCTGGTTTGGCTGAGGAGAGCTGCTGGGCCCCACAGCCTTCCTATAAGGACAAGCAAGAGGATTCTGATGAAACCTGAAGGTGCCGTGAAAAACACCTGCCACTTAGCGGCCCAGGCCATGAACAATGCTCCTCCACACTGGGGCTCCTTTCTCAGATACCACCCCCATGCCCCCCCCTCCAAGCTGTAACAGGAAGAGAGAGGAGCATTGAATATTTGCTTTCTTTACGGTGTGCCCGGTGTGGAGCAGCAGGGTACAACCATCTTATTAGCAAAACCTGTTGGCTTGAAAATACATGTTGTCTTAAAACCATGAGATGTCATTCTTTTGGCCTATAAACTTTACAAAAATACTTAAAAACACAGTACTCAGGCCAGGTGTGGTGGCTCATGCCTGTAATCCTAGCACTCTGGGAGGCTGAAGTGGATGGATCATTTGAGATCAGGAGTTCAAGACCAGCCTGAGCAAGAGCGAGACCCCCCTCTTTACTACAAATAGAAAGAAATTAGCTGGAAAAGTAAAAATATATAGAAAAAATTAGCCAGGCATGGTGGTGCATGCCTGTAGTCCCAACTACTCGGGAGGCTAAGGCAGAAGGATTGCTTGAGCCGAGGAGTTTGAGGTTGCTGTGAGCTAGGCTGATGCCATGGCACTCTAGCCCGGGCAACAGAGTGAGAATCTGTCTCAAAAAACAAAAAACAACAACAACAAAAACAAACAAACAAAAACACCGTACTCAATGTTGGAAAGGTAAAGAGTGATGGTATCAAAGTCTACTGTTGTGAGTGCAAATTGATGCAGCGTTTGTTTTTAAGCATGCATGAATTGATGGGTATTATATGGGGTATTATAATAAATAATAATAATAATAAATATAATAAATGGGTATTATATCCGGGCACTGTGCTAAGGGCTTTACTGACATAACTCACTTAATCCTGAAAACAACCCTCTAAGGTAGGTAGCCTCATTTTATACTTGAGCAAACTAAGGTCCAGACAGTTATATAATTTGTTGCAGATCACAGAGCTCGGACTCTAGAATACATTTTGGCAAAATTCACTTATTTAGTAAATATTTTCCATCTACTATGCTGTTGTTATATGCTGGGTGCTAGTAATGGAGCCGTAACAAGAGAGAGAGCCCTCGTGCACAAATAAAGGAAATGTAGACATTAAGCAGGTAACTTCAGGAGGCTAATGCTGGGAAAGAAGGTACACAGGTGCGGTGGCGGGAGTGACAGAAGGGGGTCTCAAGATAGTCTGGGGGTAGAGAAGGCCTCCCTGAGCAGGTGACATCTAAGCTGAAATTTGATTGAGGCACACAAGTGAGCCAGGTGGTGCGGAGGACAGGCAAAGGACTCCAGACAGAGGGAGCAGTGTGTTTAAAGCCCAGAGATGAGGAAGAGAAACAGAAACTCCAGATGAGCAGGTAACAGAGAGTGTGAGGAGCGGCAAGAAGTACGATAGGAAACTCAGCAGGGCCAGATGGGCAGGGATTGACAAGCCATGCTAAGGATTCTTAAGGACTGTTGAAGGGCCATAGGAAGCGATTGAAGGGTTTAAAAACAGGACAGTGACGGTATTAGATTCTTATAATTTTTAAATGAAAAAAGTTTTAATTGTGGAAGTAACACATGAACATATTAAAAACAACAAAGACACAGAAGGGCTGTGTGACAACAGTCCCCTGCCCCACTTTGCCTCGCCCCATCCTCTCCCTAGAGAAAACCACTTTAAACTTTTTAAACTGCTCTTTTTTTTTTCTGGCGGTTACCTTCATAGCTGTAAATGTGCATTGTCATCCGTTGGGCTTTCTGGGAAGCAAACTTTCAGATGGACATTTGTGCAGGTGGCTCGCTGAGGGAGGGCAGGAGCAGCACCTGTAAGGGAGGGAGGAAGCAGGATGGGGCAGAGAGAGAAGGTGAACCATGATGAGGTTGCAGCGGGAGCCTCAGCCAATGCCACAGGCAGTTCTCAGGCCTGGGCGACCCTCCAGGGTTGTCCTGAATGGAGGCAAAGGGCACATCATCCAGTCGTTGGATGTGAGCTGTTCCCACAGAGGAGAGGTGAAGGTGGGTGAGTTTGCTGCTTCCCCTGAGCGTAATGCCTTTGACAGGGCTCAATTGTGAGTTTTTGGGGGATGAGAATCCCAATCCCCCAGAGGAGTGAGCAGTCCTTAAAGGGACCTGGGTGGTGCCACACAGCACCCCCGCAGCTCACCCCCTTGCACTGCTTGGATCCATTTGCTTCCTATAATAATTTCATCCCACCCTTGAATAGCCTATTCAGGATTCTGGTTGCTTTCTTTTCCTGCAGAAGCTTATAAAAGGAAAGTCAGCGGGACACACTGCAGGCCCACTGCCACTGCTGCCTGGAAGTTCCATCTTGTCGTCACCACCTCCCTCCTTTGTTACCCATTCTGGATGGCTCCCAGCCCCAGCTAGCACCTCTGCTGACAAAGCTTGAGCAGTCTGAGCCCCTGGTCACCATGGCCTTTTCAGGTTGAGGCTGCTGTACTTGTCTGTTGACCATTAAAACTGCATGGTGGGACAGTAAGAGGTGCCCTGGGGGGCCTTGGATTCTGTCTGTATTGTCCCAGCTCCCTGCAGCCCTGCCTCTTCCTTATCAACAGGTAAGGAGAGATTCTCTCTGCTGGGAAAGTGAAGAGTGTTTTGTGCTTACTGGTCTCTTGGCAGTGGTGAGGCTTAAAGTTTAATAGGACTCTCGCTGTGGACTGTGGCAGAAACATTCTGCCTCTGGAAGCCATGGACTCTAGAAACTCAGAGCCTAGAGTGCTGGGGTAGGAAGCACAAGTGTCCTCAGTGGGCCACTGGGAGTAATGGTAAGCATGGGTACTGCTACTTCTAACCCTTAGTTCCTGGACACATGTATTCTACCTCTTGGGGACACAGTACTCCATAATGGTCATTAGTTTAAGATGTATCCCATGTCCTGAAGATACCATGCTATCGTGCCCAATCCTAGCAGGGTGTCATCTCTAAGTTGATACCTTACCTATGTCTTCAACAGACTATTCCATTGATCCATCAGGCTGGCAGCTTCAGGGTGGTGTGGTATATGCTAGGACCAGTGGATCTCGTGGTCATATGTCCATTGACACACGTTTGTTGTAACGTGGGTCCTGTGGTCTGTTGTGATGCTGTGGAAAACCCAATGCCGATAGGACAGGTGGTATGGGAACTCTTGGATGGTGGGGCTAGCTGAGGCACTGCAGGCAAGAAAATCAAACTTCATAACCAGAACATGTCAAATTTGAATTGAGCCCTTTCCAGGTTTGGTTTGGAAAGGGTCTAAGGTAATCCACTTCCCAAGAAGCAACTGGTTGGTTTCTTTCAGGGATGAGGCCAGATCAGGGGCTTAGCACTGAACTCTGTTTAGGCCACTTCTCTTTCCACATAAAGTAGATGACCAGGTGCAACCCCAGGAGCCCTGCCCTTTGAGAGGATTTCCCTGCACTACTCCTTCAAGACCATCCCCGAGGGGAGCTGCAGGGCTGCAGCATTCTCTTTGGGGCTTACATCCACATACCAAGCTGGCATCTGCTAAGGAAGCTCAGGCGTTAGTCTCCTCTGTCAGGTCCTCAGGGATGGCCTACCATGCAGCCACAGGTTAAGCTGAAGGTGGAGTATTGGTGCCCCAGGGGTGGATGATGGAGGAGTCAGGGCCATTATTCCTGCAGTGGCAGCTTTATTCTCTGGTGCTGTTCATGCCTGACCCACATTGTATTCCTTCCGTCTTACAATAGATTGTTGTTGTGCCCACCCAACCTTAAGAGTTGGTGGGTCTGACAGTGCCTAGCTTATAATGGGCACTTCTGGATTAACGGTCAATTGATGTCCCATAGTCAGTCACTCAAATTCTACCAATGTATCTATCTACTCTAGTACATGCCAGGTGCTGTATTTTGTTGTTGTTGTTTTCATTGAACCAGGTAATAAAGAGATGTTTTTTGAAATATATATAATTCTCTGCTGTAGATGGGATGGTCTTGCTCCAGAAGCCTAGGAGTCAACATTAAGATTCTCCTTCTAGAGCTTGCATGAACTCCAAAAGGCATCTTTCACCACCACAGATACTTCTAACTGCCAGCAGGTATGCTGGTGTGTAGCAGAGCTGCCCCACTCAAAGCTTGACAAGTTTCATGTCACTTGGAAATGAAGAGGCCTATAAGGCATTTGCATTTCTTTCTTAATGGCGGGGATAGTTCAAAGTACAATAACATGTGCCCTACTTTTGGAAGGAATGGCCTGGCTGGCCCAAGACCCTGGACTCCTAAAAAGGTCACTAATGTAGCAGACCCCTGAGTCTTCATAGGGTTTATCTCTCATTCTCCAAGGCCTCCAAGTACTTGCCATTTCTTGCTCATTTGATTTCATTGATGTGATGTCATTGATATAGGGGACCAATGTAATGTTTCACAGACTGTCCAGAGCCCTTCAGACTGTGACAGAGAATTGTCAAGTTAACACAGCTCCAGGAAAGACAAGGAACATGTATTGTGTATTACCTGTGTGTGAATGTTCAAATAAAGATATTATGTTTGACATAGCTGCTGCAATTGAGGCTACTATTGGTTAAGTTTGCAGTAGTCCACTCTCATCCACAGTGATTCCTCAATTTTTGTAAAGGCCAAATCAATGAATTAAATAGGTAATGTAATGCAACCACTATCCTTTAAGTCTCTGAAAGTGACGCTATCTCTACTATTCTCTTTAGGTTGCAGTATTATTTTTTTATTTACTATCTTGTCTGGGAGTCATGGAAACTTTCAAGGACTTTCACTGACTCTTCCTAATACAATAGCTCTTACCTGTAGGTCAAGCAGCTGAGGTGAGGGTTCTGCCAACTGCTATGTCCATTGTTACACATATAAGAACCAGGAAAATGGTGAGTGGGTGTGTTAGTGAGGGACTCGGGTCGAAACTCCATTTGTCACCTGACCCTCATGTGCCCCTCCTCTAACAGCCATAATAGCACTTTGGGACCCTGGTTATAACCATCAACTTGAGCCCTATATCCAACAGCTCCAGAAAGACCTGGATATTCTTCTTTCCATAGTAAAATGGCTCTAGGTTCTTGTGAGGAAGGAGTGGGGGAATCACTACTTTGTGTACTTGCCATGGTGTTATAATGTCTGTTCTTATGAGAACCTGGCCTTTCTTTCAGTTGGTGGCTTCTGGGTTCTGGGTATGAGGATTGGCTAAGATCTCAAACTCTGAAGGGAATTGTGACTTTCTGCTGGTGAAGCTCACTTCACCTGTCTGCCCACTCATTCTTGGATGTCTTTGGGTTAAACACACAGACACATACACACACACACACACACACACACACACTCTCTCTCTCTCTCTCTCTCTCTCTCTCTCTTTCATACACACACAGAGCCAGATATGTATGAGACATACTTACACTAAAAAATTATTTGTTATTTATCTGAAATTAAAATTTACCTGGACAACCTATATTTTTATTTGCTAAATCTGGCAAGCCCGTCTTATGAATACCATTTTCTATTAGTCATTTCCACAGATCCCTGTGAATCAGGCCTACTGGCTGGTGGTTAGACTTTATAGCCAACTTGCTCCAGGGGTTAAGTGCTGCCAGCTGGCCTCTGCTGTCATTCCCATTACTAACTAGGAGCCAGGTCTGTGATCACATCTACCATCAGTCCAGGCTTACAGAAGATGACCAGTATTGAGCGTCTCAACAATGCTGGTGCCCACTCACCAGAAGGCACTTGGCAAGTCCTCTAGGTCCTCCTGAGGGACAGAGTCAACTGGAACTGGTGAGTTTTCTGCTACTCTGTGGGAGATTCATTCTGTTCACTTCTCTGAGCCTTTTCAATCCTGTCTCCATAGTCTGCCACAGCAGTTCTGATTGCCTACTTCATTTAATGTAGGCCACCAATTTCACCAAACTTTTAAGAGCTTTCTGAGCAGCATATTAAATCAATTTCCCAGGGCCCAATCCAGGTGTTAAATCCTGTGTCCTGAGAGAGTGCCCCCACATTGACAAGGCCCCCTCTACTCAGCTTTATATTCTACCCCACTTGAGCCATATGCCACTTGCAGGCAAATTCTCCCCGTTCTTGCCAGTACATTTCAGCCAGGTTCTGCAACTGCGTTGGCATGTTACTCTCTCTCTTCTTTTAGCAGGCCTAGCACTTCCTCCGTTGGGTCATCTTGATATTTGATCCTAGTGATTGATCTGATGGCCAGGAGGGGAGGTGGGGGCAGATCCTGAGGCAAGCTCGCAGTGGCTTGGAAGGCACCTCCTTTCAGGAGGCCTCTGACAAGGGGGTCCATTCTGCAGGCCCAGAGGCTTCAGGTTAATCTGCAAATTCCAGGGTCTCAAGTCACATTTGCTCAGTCTTTGGGTCCTATTTCCTTCTTATCATGGCTCTTACTTTGACATCGGCAACTTGCCTAGGCTAAGAATTCATCCTTCTCTGAAATTCTTCCACTTTTACAATTAAGACCCATGCCTGAGCTTAGTCTGCCCTCTGGCTGCGGGACAAAAGATCTTTAAATGCTGCCCTCTGACTCACATTTTGCTTTTAATTAGTGAGTAACTGATCTGAGCCTGTCATTTTTCTCTAACCCATCAGTGGTTCTAAGCAACGACCAGCCAATTTCACAATCCTTTTTTTCTATCTTTTTTTTTTTTTTTTAAGATGAGGGTCTTAAAAAAAAGCCTGTTACCCAGGCTAGCCTTGAACTCCTGGGCTTGAGCAATCCTCCTGCCTCCTGAGTAGCTGGGACTGCAGGCACACCACTGTGTGCCCGGCTCATAATCCTCATAGAGACCATTTATCTGAACTTCTCACATGCCAGGGACATTTTATCAGCAAGTGTATCCCTTTCCACCTTAATCTTGTCCCAGTTCACCCCAGGGACTGTCACTCCACCTACCACTGTGGATGATAAGGTCTTTGTTGCCATCTGTTATTCAACTCCAGAATCCCATCCTTAAAATCTGCTTTTGAGGACGACTTCTGGTAGCAACTATTTTAGGATTGGTCTCCAGCCGCAGAGCTTGAGATGGCAATTCATGTTCAAGTGACGTGGTGAGGAAGTGCCCTGGTGAATTCCTATAAGGGGGGCAGGGTGGCACTGGATGGCACTTTAGGAGAAGAGAAGTTAGTTCAAAATATGGGTTCAGCTGAAGTCTAGCCTCAATCTGGTCTCCAGGGGAGCTCTGGAGCAAGAATGCCTTCACGGAGTTGTCCCCCATTGAGGCAGGAGGCTGAAGTTTTATATTCCCATATTTGTCAGACATCGGCTGCAGGATGCCCTGGGGACAGGGTGTAACCTCTCATAGCTACCTGTCAGTGGAGGGCAATTCTCAGGTGAAGAGTTGCTGGGAAGCTATTAGCATTCAATGCTCTCAGAACCTGGGGATGGGTGCACTCACCAGGTGAGTGGGATGGGGCAGGGCACCAACTGCATCTACTACAGCATGCCGTGTCTAAATACTTTCACACTTTGACACTTTCACAATACTGAGTCTTCCATTCCACGAACATGGTTTTTAGAACCTCCTTTTATTTCAAATGTCTTTCATATATTTCAAAAATGTTTTATAGCCGGCAGGCATAGTGGCATACGCCGGTAATGCTAGTACTTTGGGAGGCCAAGGCAGGGGGATCGCTTGAGGTCAGGAGTTCGAGACCAGCCTGAGCAACAAGTAAGAACCTGTCTGTACAAAAAAAAAAAGCCAGGCTGGGCCCGGTGCCTCACGCCTGTAATCCTAGCACTCTGGGAGGCCAAGGTAGGTGGATTGCTTGAGGTCAGGAGTTCGAAACCACCCTGAGCAAGAGCAAGACCCCGTCTCTACTATAAATTGAAAGAAATTAATTGGCCAACTAACATATATAGAAAAAAATTAGCTGGGCATGGTGGCACATGCCTGTAGTCCCAGCTACTTGGGAGGCTGAGGCAGGAGGATCATTTGAGCCCGGGAGTTTGAGGTTGCTGTGAGCTAGGCTGACGCCACGGCACTCACTCTAGCCTGGGCAACAAAGTGAGACCAGGCACAACAGTGAGTGCCTATAGTCCCAGCCACTAGGGAGGCTGAAGTGGGAGGAACACTTGAGCACAGCCTGGATGACAGAGTGAGATCCTGTCTCAAAAAAGAAAAAAAAGTTTTATAGCTTTCTGTGTAGAATTTTCATATATCTTTCTTTTGTT